ACCACAGGGGTATTAGTCTAACGCCAATTGTGACAAAATTACTGGCCTCGATTATCGTTCGTCGCCTCACTGCAGAACAGGAATCCCGGATTAGGGAAGAGCAGGCCGGTTTTCGCCCAGGACGTGGCTGTATAGACCATATATTCACTTTGCGGCAGGTGCTAGAGCAGCGCCACGCATACCGCAGACCGACAATAGCTGTGTTCCTCGATTTCAAGAGTGCGTTCGATTCAGTCGATCGATCGATTCTGTTCGAAATACTTGCGCGGAAAAGGTGTTCCCACGAAGTATGTGAACATCCTTCGTGCTCTATACTCGAACACTACAGGCCGCGTCAGGGTCTATGGTGTCCTATCGGATAGCTTTTCGACTACAAGTGGCGTTCGTCAGGGTTGTCCGATTTCCCCATTTTTGTTCAATTTCGTCGTGGATTCTATCATGGAGTGTTCCCTGACGGAATCCAACGATGTAGGCGTTGAAGTGCTGCCTGGTGAAAGGTTAGTTGATCTAGATTATGCGGACGATATCGTCTTGCTTTTCGACGATGTTGGGGCGGCACAATCAACCCTGAATAGCCTGTCTAGAGTGGTCCCATTAATTGGTATGCGCTTCGCACCTTCAAAATGCAAAGTGTTGCTGCAGGACCACCAGCCACTTGATGACCCCTTGACGCTTGCTAACGAGGAACTCGAGGTGGTTGATCATTTCACTTATCTTGGCAGCTGCATCAGCAATGATGGGCGCATAGAAACTGACGTGAGCTCACGCATTGCAAAGGCCAGAGCTGCCTTCTTGAACCTGCGTCATCTTTGGCGACAGAAGGGAGTTTCCCTCCGTCTGAAAGGCCGTGTATACAAGGCCACAGTGAGGGCCGTTCTGCTCTATGGTAGTGAGACTTGGCCCCTTCGGTCTGAAGATCTGAGGCGCCTTCAAGTCTTGATCATCGTTGTCTGCGAAGCATTGCTGGAGTCGGATGGCACCAGCGTGTCCGCAACGATGATGTGCGTAGGCGAGTACTAGGTAGTGATAATTATGCTAGCACCCTAGAACAACAGATAGCACTGAATAAGTTGCGTTGGCTCGGGCACGTGCTACGCATGCCTGGTCACCGCTTACCTAGGAGGGCCTTGTTCAGTCTACCAGGTGTAGGATGGCGCAAGACTCGAGGTGGACAGAAGTTGACTTGGCAGCGGGAAATGAAGTCACTGACAACCAAACTGGGTGCCGTTGGTCCGTCTCGCCTTCCGGGTTGGAGTCCACGTGACTCACCTTGTGCTTGGCTCGAGACTTTGCAGGACATGGCTGGCAACCGACACCAGTGGCGCGTCTGCTGCCGTCTTCTAATCGGATTGCCTGTTTAAAGTGTGTTTGGTGCTGAGTTATCTGCGGGGTAATGGCTGATTATGACGCGTGGCAGTGAAAGCCGCAAGGAAGCTGTCTCGCCGATGCCGCCTTATCTTTGCACGATAGCCAGCTGTTTGTGACGGTATGTTGTCTACACAAGGTGTAGGCGCCTTGACCATGAATGTTTGCTTAGGGCATTAAGGTTTTCAGGTAAGTCCCCATTTCTCTCCCTTTTCTTATTCTTTATTTCATAGGTCCTCATGGTTGTATGGCAGCGAAGCATCAGTTCAAATGGCTGATGTACTGCTGTTGATGATGAGGATGATGATGACTTCAACCTAACCGGGCTTATAACCCATTTACCGTTGTTTCACGCGACTCAGTTTCGAGTGAATGGTAGGAGAATCTGAAGGACTGGAAGGCGAATCTGAAGCTCCATGTAGTTGATGTCTTGGGAAGTGATGACTGCTCCGAAGTGCTTTGGTGTCTTAATCACGATGGATGTAGATCGCTACTAGGTGTTTTCTACAGAGCTCCCTTGAGTTCTGGTGATCGTTTACTGGAGTCTAAAGAAGCATGGTGGAAACAAAGGTTGCTTATTCGTGGGGACTTTAATACCCCTAATATTGATTGGAATCTTCACTGTGATGCTGCACCTGACTCCTTCGATTCTACGTTTCTGGAAGCTGTTCTTGAAAGCAATTTAATTCAACATGTCGCGGCACCCACTCGCACTATCCCTGGTCAGATGCCGTACATTCTCGATCTTGTGCTTTCGCCTTCACCACCGGATGTTTCGGGAGGAGTGACCACTGCCTACTTTTCTTTCACTGGACCACACGGTTGAGCATTCACTACCACTGTCTATCGTCGGAATTTCTGGCGTGCTGATCCAAACCGCCTGAAGATGGCCGCTAGCGAGCAGGATTGGAGTCTTTCCCAGCACTTAGACGTCGATGATGCTTGGAGTCTTGTTTACTCGTAAATATTGTCCCTTATTGTTGATGTTCCCATATCCAAACGAAAACCCTTTACTAGAGCTTCCTCCTGGATTAACCGAGAATTACGATCGCTCATGAACCAGACACAAGCTTTGGTATCGCTATAGACTTTCGAGATTGGAAACTGGTTATAGAAATTATAAATTGGTTCGGAACGTATGTACATCGGAAAAATGTACGAAACGGCAGCAGTACGAAGGTCATCTGGCTGAACATTTCAAGTCCATACCGAAGCTGCTTTTCTCCTACTTGAAAAGGAGCACCAGTGCCAGAAGTGGAATACCAGCTCTTGCACTCCCACGCTCTTAACCGTGCTCCACGGCGGTGCTGATAAAGCTAGTCTTTTAACTTGCCATTATTCATCGGTCTATTCAACAGAGTTGCCGTCAGTTGTTTGTTATTTGTCCTTGCTCTCTGTTCTCAGTGATATGAACATAAATGTTAGTATGGTATCCAAACTTTTTGTGCGAGCTGGATCCAAACTCTTCCCCGGGACCTGATGGATTGCATCTTCTTTTCCTCAAGATTGTGGCCGAATATATTGCTGTTCCTATCTGTCACGTATTTCGGCGCTCACTTGAGGCCGGGCGTCTTCCGCTTGCCTGGAAAGTGGGCATAGTCAAGCCCATATACAAAGGAGGAAATCGACAAGATCCTACAAAAATATCGGCCCATCTGTCTAACATCTGTCGTCTGCAAGGTTATGGAGAGGATTCTTAAGCGAGTTCTCAACCTGCATTTCCAGAACCTCAAGATCATTTCAGCTGCGCAGCATGGGTTCCGTCGTTCGCGTTCATGTGTCACCAATCTTCTGGTAGCACGAAAAAAGTGGGCTAAATCCATGGATGCTGCTAAGCAGCTGGATGTCATGTTTGTGGATTTCAGTAAAGCTTTTGACAAGGTTCCACACGAAAATTTGCTTAGCAAACTTTGCAGTATTGGTGTTTCAGAAAAAATCCTCTCTTGGCTCACTGATTTCCTGCATGACGGCGCTTTCCGTGTGCAAGTAAATGTGTCCCTTTTCTTCCCTGTAAATATGACTAGCGGTGTTTCGCAAAGCTCTGCTTGGCCCTGCACTTTTTAAAGTCTTTCTTAATGACCTGGCATCTGTACTACAGGCAAATTGTTTGATTTACGCAGATGATTTAAATCTATGGGGGGGGGGGAAGTCTCCGGTGTGAATGAAGCTGATGTACTACAAACAAGGCTCGATTCGCTACATGATTTGTCGATCAGGTGTCAATTACCCATAAATCACAATAAATGTTCCGTTCTTCTGACCGGTGCCTCTGAACCATTTGGAATTTATCATATCGGTGGGTTTTTGCTACCAAACTCTAATCGTGAGAGGGACCTTGGGGTCGTTGTGACCCCAGACCTAAAATCGACTGAAGATACCTTGAGGAAAGTCGCTTCTGCCAACAGGTTGTTTTTCGCCATACGACGATCCTTCTCCCGGTTGACACCGGAGATCTTCAGGCTCGTGTTCACTTCTCATGTACGTCCGATTCTTGATGTTGGACTGCCCGCTGTCTATCCTCTTTCCAAATTTGAATGCAACTTGATTGAAAAAGTTCAGCGGAGAAAATCTAAATCCATTCTGAAGTTACGAAACCTGCCTTACTCACATCGTCTTCAGCGCCTGAACTTGTTCTCCCTAGCCTGTCGTCGAGATCCCGGGGATTTGATTTTCACACGACGTATTGTCAGAGGTGAACTTGGAGCTGAACTGCAGAATTTCTTTCCACACAGTTCTTTCAGTTCAACTCAGGGTCACCATTGAAAATTGTTTAAACAAAGGAGACTTCGGGTCCGTTGTGAAGTCACTCTGTCTACCAGAGTAGTGAACGAGTGGAACAATCTACCTATGTATGTCGTTGATGCGCACTCGGAGGAATGTTTCAAACATCGATTAGATTCTTAACTCTTGAGTAAACTCTGATCTTTTTGCTTCTTGTGTCAATGCAGCGGTTCCATTAGTACCGACTTGCAGTGTCCACCTTGATCCCTGTGACGAACGGGAGGCGATGAAGCTGACAAAGGATTTTTCCTTCTCTCTACATTCCAATGATCCAATGAGTCTTCGACTTTTTACAACATTGACCTTTCTATTATGAATCAGTGACAGAGCTTTTGGAAAGTGTCGCACGGCTTAGTCAACTGGATCACGAAGGCTAAAAACTGCACTGCATTTAGGTTCCTTCTCTTTGCGAGTATCCGGATGAAGTACTTGGGTGCTTTTTCTTACAAACCTTGTAGTATGTAAGCGAAATAAACTAACCATTGCCTTAGTAGTTCGCTGCGGTGGCAATCTTGCCACGCCCCTGGAGCTGTCATAATTATACCGGAAGTTGTGGAATGTATGTCAGCCGAAATGTTTTACATTAAGTGATTTCATAGATGTAACAGTGCTTGCTCTTTGCTTGCCTTTGTCCTGTTTACCATAAGTCCGGAGTTACTTGCTGACACGCGGAACAGAAGATACCCCTCATCGAAAGTTCGTGTAGCCCATGGGGATCAACGTGACCGGTCCCCCCCGTTTGATCTTTCATTGTTGTCTCAAAAATGCTTTCATGTCCATTCTCCTGATCGTCTGTTGCACAGAGTATCGGCGTATTGTGCCTTGATCCGAGAATGTGTTTTCCCTCTTTTTCAGCTCTTTGGGCTTGCCCCACTTTCCGCTTGGACCGTCACATCCTGTGCTAATTTTTCCATTCCCTGCTTTTTGTCCGCTGCCGTATGTCTTTGTAGGTCGCATACCGGCTGATGTCACGGAGTAACCGCTTCTACGAGCCTTTCTACCACTCTCAGTGAAACTTTACAACGTTATTTGTTTACATTTGTACCTTCAAACTGCTTTTATTTTAATGTCTACCCAACGCTTCTGTGGCTCTTTCAGTTTAGATCTTTGGGCAGGTGACAGCTTTGGTTTATGTTTTACTGAGCTATACTTATTTTTCCCTATGAGTTTTGTGTACTTATTACTCTCCATCGTCTACTGCTTTATATATAGAAGGTCAGCTGCTTTTGAAGCTTTTCCCCTTTATGTATTTTGGATCCGTATATCGTTGGTACTATTAATTCTGGGAATCAGTTGTGGGGGAGTCATTGCTAGTTTTCTCCTCCTTTTAACCGATAGTGCATTGTCGTTTAACGCTCGATTCGAGATAGTCCACAGTGCCACCACTATGCTTTTATGGATATCGGTGTTTTTTCATGACTACTTTCACGGCAAATGCCTCCGTTACTCTTCAAGGGGCTCTGCTCTTCATCTTTGTATGTCTATTTTGTACTACTACGTCACAGTTATTTTGCTGTGGTCGACGTTCCATCAGGTTTCGGGACCTTTAAAATGGTTTTCTGTCACTCTTCGAGCAGTCCACGTTACCCTCGTCACTTTACACCTTCTTTCAAAAACTCCAATAATGTTCAACTCTGAGGAACCAAGAAGGCGGCGTGCTCGTCTCACCCGATTCGCAGTTCCCCACCAATACTCCCTATCTACCACAGTTGCTCCACATGACGATCATTCGTCATCAGGATTTCGGCGATCCGATTCTGCAAACTCATTGTTATCTGACTTGCCTACAACTGTTGCAGAAGCCGGGCCTACGTGCTTTTCTAAGGCCCTCTTCCTTTGGATGAACAAAATTGTATCCTCTGGTTACTATGGAGAACTATCTGACATTTCGAACCTTCCTGCTTTACCCGAACGTCTGGACATACCTGGCTTAGAAAGTCGACTTCCTGCAAACCCTTTTCTGCCACCTGCGGTAGAAGGTTCACCAGCTTTAACTAGCCAAGGCACTCTACCATTCTTTCGATGCAGCTTCACATATTTTGGCAAGGAGTTTCTCCTTTTAGGTCTGGCGAAGCTCACATTCAGCATATTCAATTTGCTTTCGCCTGTTTTTCTTAATTACTTTATTCTTAGTTTGTCTACTGACCGGTTCTCTTTTTTGAGCCTTTTGTGGGGTGGCATGCTTATCCTTTTGTCATTCATATCAACGATTGCGGCAACAACTTATGATTACCGCATGTCTACGTTTGGTTATAAAATCCGCGTGGCTACCTGTGGCCTTGTTTACCGTCGCATTTTGTCAACAAAGTTCGCATTATTGAATTCTCTCGGAACTGGATCTATCCTCAATTACCTAACCAGTGATGTAGATAGAATCGTCAACTTCGCTCCCAGTGTGCACGAAGCGTGGGCCATGCCCCTTCAAGTTGTTCTAGCTCTGATACTCCTTTACCGTCAACTGGGTGTCTCTTGCTTTGTCGGTGTAGGATTTCTTATTGTTCTTCTCCCATTTAACCGCTTTCTTGCTTATCAAATTGGGAAGTATTCCAAAAGGCTTATGCACTTTAAGGATGCTCGAATCAAGGTGAGTCGTATCCAACAAAGGTAGTTAGATGTATTTGCTCTCGCTTGTCACTTAATATGCTGTTATTTCCTCAGGATTTGATGCTTACCATGTTGTTTTTCGCACACTGGTACTCGATCTTAAGCAGCGCATTTAAGCGCTGTTTAACCTAATGGTAGCACGAATTGTGATTTCCAAGCAAGTTGCTATTTTTAGGGGCAATCTGTCGCGACATTCTTAGTTTGATATATGTCCGGAAGCCGGTCTGCATGATTGTACTAGTCTATTGTTTTTGTCCTATGATTACGAGACATATAAAGATCCATTTTTCCAGTTTCATATTCTGTTCTCTGCATGAATTAGTTTCTGTTTACACAATAACTGGTGTTCCTTGGCTACAGAGAATCCTCACCTGTTTTTTACTTTGTTAGTTCTTAACCTATTTGATCAGTCAGAAGGTATCAGCAGTGTACCGATATTTTGTACTGATGCTTCGCTGTTATACCATTGCAGCTGATCACTAGCTGAGATGTTACCAGGGCGCCAAAGCTTAGTTACAAACGAACGTTTTTCCCATAACTTCACTTTTCTAAAATATCTACCTTTAGTTTTAGACGAAAGTCAGATGAAACCAGTCGCTTATCAGGAGCAGTTGTTCTCTTTCCAGGATTTGATTTTCTGTGCCAACCGGTTTCTATTTAGACCTCGTTTTGGACAAAAGCAACTATATTTTATGCGGGGCTACTACTGCTTGCGAAATGCAGTGACAAGCTTCTTGACTCCATGAAACGTATCTGCGGTCGCACAAGTACTGGCAGTGGACGTTCAGATTTTCTGAATTCCAACAGTTATCACGGGGTGATAGCCAAAAATACTCTGATCCGAGCTCATTCACTCTTCAGTTAAGCATGCGGATTATCTGGACAGCACATTGAGAAGATGAACTTTGGTAGATGCGCGCATTTCCTATCATCTCATCGGAACCAATATGTTAACAAGAAATGACCTATATAAACGTCAGAGGGTGTTAACTTACCAGTCACACGTAGCCAGGTGACTGGCGGCGATGGCTCTAACACAATGGCAACCAAAGATTGACAACCAATTGTTATTGCACACATGGGGCTGGTCGTATCTGTCTTATCGGCACAGCCTCGGTGAGTCGCACGAGACGCGAATTAGGGTGACGCAGTAGAATCCGGAGCGCCGAGACAGGGTTAATCCGATGAGAGGGCTGCATAATTGCATGCCTATTGCTAGCGCCGCTGGATTACGTGGACACGAAGCACTGGACCGGAGTTTACTTGGCCGCGTTGAACCCAGTTGGTTACATGTTCCTTCACTTTAGAATTAAAAACTCTGTCAGTACTGCCCATGTGATTGACTCCGCAATGTCACCCGAATTGGCAAACACCCTGTGATTTGGCACCAATGGATCCCTCTCCTCTTACTGAACGTGACAACAGCTTCCTAATTCTATAAAGGGCTATAGCCTCAGCGGCACATTGTGTTCTCTTATTAGCAAAGATAAAGCGCTCGGTCATCCTCATTATGATGGCTTTACTCTCAAATGGAAGTGGCGTATACCTTCATATTTGGTACTGTCAACACCGCTTCTTTCAGCCGCCAGACGTGGTTGTGTTTCTCGATGAAACGCCTTGGGTATCTGTTTTGCACAAGCGTTCTGACAATTATCTCCATCTCCACAGCCAGACAATCACTCGAAGAAATAACACGGACACGAGTGAACGTAGGTTTCACTACCGCACGCTTGTGACCCATCGTTGTGAACTTAGTAAAGCGCAGGTGTTTGCCTATCCATGTATGCTTCCGGTATACGAACTGCCTAACGAACCCAGTATCTATTAGGCTGATGCGAATGTCCACGTACGGAGGACGATCATTCGACTCTAATTCAAGTCGACGTAAACGCTATGTGGTAGTGTAGCAACTAATTATTATCGCCGTCTGAAAACAGAATAGGTGCGTGAAGCCTACACGATCGACTCAGAGTAATGTGCGCATTAGTTTTCGACGAAATGAATGATCTTTTGGGACACTGAGGTCAGTGTGGTGCAAGCGACCACACAACGGGACAAGTAAGGGGATTACTGGGAGGAGAACGTGCGCATAGGTGTGACACATGGCACAAAGATGGTGTTGTTAGTCATATAGAGTAACCTCAAAATCTTCAACCCTCAGTTTAGCTGGAAATATTTTCCCTTATATTTTGTATTAAACAATCAACGGTACTAAAATTGCCGCCGCGTATCACATGCCGCCCGGGGTAATCCGCTCCCCACCCCATCTTGCTACGCCTCTGACGCTATTTAGCTGTTGCACCGAGCGTTTAATTTACGTCCTCGAGGAGCCAAGCACGTTAATGTCACTAGCACATCGCTTAACGAAAGGTCGCTGAGAGATCTCTCCACTTAATTTCTTTTCAAATATTACCCTGAAAAAGTCGGCCCATACAGAAACTAAGGGATTGCTCATAGCCGCTCCGTCGATTTGGCGATGTGCGCGCATTTCGCATCATCTCACTAATGAGATGATACGAAATGTGCGAATCTACCATTGTCCCTTTCCTCTCGATGTCATTCAAATTATTGTAGGAAACTGTTTTGTTGTGCATTATCATCCGATTTTGAGCACTTGTTTGTGGTCTATTCCTTTTTTTACCCTTTCTGGCTTCGTAAAATTCGTCCTAATATCTCGCGCAGCTTATGTCAGAGGTGCTTCCCAATATGGCTACAGTCAAGCTTACCTGCTGGGAAAAACTAGTGCACTCCAGAATATCAACTCCGCGATCACAAGAACTGCGTGCTCTTTGGGGACAAAAACTTTTGGATGCAATATGTGTATTCTCTTGGGCAGTGTGTCCGGCACTTTTGGCCGGTTCCACTTTTGCGACTTACGTGACGTTGGGAAACAACTTGTCTGCTTCGGTGGTAAGTCCTTGGCCCATATACTTTTGGCCTTTTGAGATTTTCTTCCAAGGCTTTTGTAGATCGATCAATTGTCCAGATAATTCGCTTCGTATTTTTCGAGCGACGATCGCATCCATCCTTTTTACGTTCGACTAGCTATTTACTGTCTTGCTGTTCTAAAAAACTGGTCAATGGGTTTATTCCGAACAGGTTATGCCGAAAATAGCGATACTGAAGCAACAAGCTAGTATCCACCAAAAATGAATTTGGCCATCTGAACTGGCTGCATTTTTCTTTGTGTTTGATATCCGTCAGCGTAAAGAGTGACCATTTCGGGGTATCGATTTTTTACCAGGAGCAGTGATACCTTATCATTAACGTGCTCGCTATTCACTGACGGAACTAAAAGACTACCAGTTTCTTTCCACCGATGCATACGAGCCAATTACATGCACAATTATAAGTTGTTAGTAGTATCTATACCTTTGTTTTTCATCATTTGAGCTACATTTTCTCTGTGCGCTGATCGGGTCACGTTGACAGAGTCGGTTCCCTGCGGATCCAGCCGGTGGGGAGAGAAGACCAAGGTAGCTACTTGACACTAATGCATCTTGAACAAATTGACCAGTTAAACTTTACGTTGGGGCTTGTCGCCTTCTGATCACCTAACTGGAATCATTGTATTACACGGCGTTAACGCCGTCACTCTATGATCACGATCGGTTAAGCATTCCGCTGATTGATTTCGTTTCGATCTTTCTCTTATTTTTCTCTTGACGACGATATGAGTCAAGGTGACAGGCGGCATCTGTCCCCGCCTCGTGCTTGTCACACCATTTGAATTGATCCGCATAATGCAGCTAGATATCGTTCGGCCCTGTTGTCATATTGAATTCTCGCATTAGACAGATGATACTGCTTTCTCTCCCGTTTATACTGCTTTCCCTAGTTCCCATTCACTTATCTCGAATGACTCATTAGTTCTCTCTTCTGGTGTGTGGATCTGAAATTTATTGGGACGTCGTTCTCGCTCCTTGTCTTGGAATCCTGTTAAGAACTGCCCCCACCTATGTCTTTTAGGGCGAATATTGCCTTGGCTTTGTCGGTGTGGTTTTTAACTTCTACCCACATCCTCAGGTAGGGCTGGGGCGCATAACGGGGGCACGTCACAGTTCATTCATACGGAGAGTAGTATTTACCAGACGCACTTGTCAGCGGTCTCATGCTGCCATAGCCATCGTCCCTCGCAATGTTGTACGTTGGATGCTGGCTACGATCAGTTCTTTATGATAACGAATCACTGTGAACTTCTCCAAGGCCAGACAAGTTAAGCAGATTCAGGTGTCTAAACACAGTGACATCGAGACATCTGCTGCGAACTATTTGAGCAATAAGCGGCTGAACAATCTAGGGCATCCGGTACGTACTCTATCGCCAATACTTAGTTCCCTTTGGGTCCAGTTGCGCTTTTTCCACCGTAGTTAAATTCCTATTAAGTTAGTCCATATTTAATAGTTTTAAAGCTGCGTAATTGGCAGAAACTGGTCACTATTTTCGATAAATTCTTTTACCTATATGTATCGTAGGTTTTTACCAGCCTTGCCTTGTTTGGTATGCTGATTGGACCGATGAATGCCCTACCATGGGTGTTAAACGGCGTCATGGAAGCTGTCATATCGATACAACGAATTTCCTCCTTGCTCACTCTTCCGTCGGATGAATATCCACCAGACAACCCTGCAAAACGTCTCGATTCGATTTGTTTCACCAACCAATCGCTGTTTCCTACTATGCTTGATCCACCTCCTGTCGACCTACACAATGCCCGTTTCTTTTGGTCCGACCCGGAAAAACCCGTCCTCTCGGATGTGTCCCTTTGCGTTCAGAAGGTCAGTGCAGGAGGACTTTCGTTTGTGTGGCCTCGTTCTTACTCATGCTTCTACGGTATTTTTTTCTAGACCATAGCATTCTTTGCTCTTTCGGATGCTACGCTAACTTCGATATGGATTTAAGCATTTTGCCCGCCCATTTGTGCAGATTGCACTCCGTTGCGTTTGCCCTGATAATGCCTATGTGGCGACACAACAATGTGGTGCTCTACTGGTATTTGTCAACTTCCAGAATGAAGGCAAAAGTTAGCCAGCTCAGGTGTCGAAACACCGTTGCCTGATCGCCGGTAGTCATGCAAATACTCCCGCTTCCAGCAACCAGGCTTTCAAGTCGGGTTTGTCTTGTCATCTCACTACGTTCTTTGCTTTTGACTACTCTGCTGCCTTTTTGTTTTGTATGCTCCACCAATTTTTTATCCCAGCAATAAGCAGCTTGTCAAATCACCTAGCTAGTCTTTCGTTCCTAAATGCCATGTGACAAACCGAAACCATTTTGAGTGTACAAGACACACCCAGACTCTGATTTAAAACTTCCATTCGCACATGTTACTAAACATAAAAGATTTTCAGATTGAGAACCTTCTACGCTACCTAATTTGACATGTACATTTTTCCGTTCCTCACTCTACTTATGGTTACATCATTGACTTCGTTGAGATATATTATGCCGACCCGAGCGATCCCAATCCACTCGGCTAAGCGTTAGAGCTGCAAGCATGTTCTTGACACTCGTGCACACCGATACTGACCAATTTGTCACCGTTTTGGAAATACTAATCACCTTGGTGGTTCGGTGTTGCTCCTCTCAACCCTGACACATAACCGGTTTCCTCCTCGTTTGGACTCATCAGATGGAGATAGCCTGAGCTGGGGTGAACCTCGAGGCCTAGTGTTCAAACCTTGACGCCTTGACCACTATGGCTCTAATCAGCTTACTTATTTCAACGCCCTTGCACGACTGTCATTTTCATTTTCGCTCATTATCTTGATTTTGCTATCTTATGGCAATATCGGACTATCGTTTTCTCTCAAAATTCTTTTTGTATTTCAACTACGCATTGAATGTGGTCTAGTTGGTTTTGTGACAGGGCTTGCTTGGACGTCGACCCAGTTTTTTCTTACTTTATTTTGCCTTAGCTTCGATGATCCTTAGATAGCCAACCGAGGACGAAGTGACGCCTATCGTTTGATGACTGAATTCCCCCTTACCAGCATTATGCGACCCCAATTGAAGTAAACGACTTTTCTGTTCACTTTTCACACTGGTACCACCCGGGTTATTCGGGTTTATCCTGTTCCAGAAAATAATTCGGTTGATAGGTTTCAAGAACTGGTGGGTTTTCACCTGGTAAGCGTCCTCCTTACAAACATCGCAGATGTCTGTCTAATAACACTTCGGTTTGGTGGATGTGACTCGCCACTAAATAAAGTCACTGCCTTTTACTTCACTTCTATGGAACCATTTTCCATTAACTTGCACACATCGCCTAAGCTAATTGTATTCGATTTCCGTAGCATATTTGTGTTCGTGGCATTCCGTGAACTATACTTTCTGACCTCGTGCACTTAGCTAGGATTTGTTTGTAAACAACTTATTACATAAGCTATTTAATTAAGGTTTATATCACCGTTTCCTTACGCATTAATCGAGTTTTTCTCTTTTTCTTTCTCTTTCTCTCTCACTCAAGTGATTGGCTGTTGTTTGACATCCCCGGGGTGGTTGCGCTTGATGTGCATATTGACAAGATGCCTACCTGTCTATTACCCACTACCTCGTCCATACTGGCTCCAGGAGACAGTTGGTCGTTGCTGGAGGGGACAGGGTGCACGGTCCTTGTGGCCGTGTTAGGATCAAAGTGGTTCCATGCAGTCAGTTTGGAGCGGACTACGGTCCAGCCACCGCCTTGTGTGCGGTTGATTCCCCAAATACAGTGTGCTTGTGTTTGCCTGTGAAGGAGTGTGGGCCGGCTCCGTTGATGAAACGTGGTTCCCATCCGCATGCCTCCCGGTCTTATTCCTTCGGGTTTACACTGGATATGGGGTGTGTGGTTGGAGCTGTGGGTGGTGCAGCGCAAGCCATCCATGGTCCCTCTGTAGGCGCAGGCGTCCTGTGGCTTGCCACAGCGACAGGCAAATCCGAAACCGGATGCCGCCAACCATGGAACCATTTATTCCAGCTGCCTCTTGCTGATATCGCGGGGAGGATCGGGCCTCTGTTTGGTAACCTACCAAACGAAAGGCATATGATCCGACACGATTTCCTGAATTCGCCCCGCTGCCTTACAAGTAGGTTGTGAAGCCAAACGCCTGGGGTGGCGTCCCCTAACTCAACTCCCTACTTCGGCCTGGGCAACTGTATATTGTTGCCTCCTCTGTAAAAACATTGGATTACTCTGTGTTGTGTTCGGTTATCTTTTTATGATAACTGTGCCTTCTTTGATTTCTATAGTTTTTGTTGGCTCTATGTATATTCGTAGGCCGATGTATATATATTTATATGTATTTAACAAACCAATCAGAATACTTTGATTGTTCTACTTTCACAGGGTCAACTAGTCGGCGTTCTCGGACCAGTGGGATCAGGAAAATCTGCTCTGCTTTTGGCTGTACTGGGTGAACTACAAGTGGTCAGGCAAGAAATTAATGACTCTGCTTCTCTATCTACGCTACAGCATAACTCTCGGGAACTGAAGTTTGCTTATGTGGGCCAACCACCTTGGTTGTGTTCCGGTACCATCCGGGAGAACATAACTTTCGGATCTCCTTACGACGCCGACTGGATGAGCCGGGTAGTATTCGCTTGTGCACTTGAGCCGGATTTACGCAGTTTCTCAAACGGGCTCGATTCCGACGTTGGAGAGGCTGGCGGCAGTCGACTGAGTGGTGGCCAGCGCGCTCGCGTAGCTTTGGCACGGGCAGTTTATCAGAAAGCCGATGTCTACCTGTTTGACGATCCTCTATCTGCAGTGGACGTTCACGTCGCGGAGCATATCATCCAGCATTGTTTTGTGGGTTTGTTGTCCGGCACTACTCGAATCATCACTTCGCATCAAGCGGCTTGGCTCATTGATGGCGTGAGTCGATCTCAAAAAATTTTCTTTTCATTTTCTACCCGCTTTCATTCGTTGTTCGTTCGCCTAGTTTCTACCACGAGTGTCACATACTGCCTGTTTGATTACCGCTCAGTTTAGAACACACTCGCTTTGACGCGATTACCAGTTTTTCGGACTCCCTATGGACTTTGCATAAGTCGTACATTCTAGGTGGTGCCGTCTAGATCATGACGCTTATCCTAACTGCATTGTGCTTCAGGTGAAGGGGTCCGGTGTTACGTGAACGTGAGCAACTCGCTCAATTGTTTGTTGCTTGTATCGCCTCATCTTTCTCCTGGATCTGTGCTTTATGCTCATCGCTATCAACGGCGGTGCATCAGCATCTTAGTGGCGTTCACTGCCATTCAATCTTGATCGCACTGCCAATTGGTCATAATATGAGAGTGATAGAGTCAGAGTCTGAACGTCTCTGATAGATATTCACATTCAAAGCGCCTATACCTCGCTGGCAACATATGACCATAAAAATCGGGTATCATTTGAATATAAAGTGACATCAACGAGACCGCTTTTTGTGGTTTTCACCATCTTGCATCATAGTCGTGTTGACATCACAGACGACTCAGTACCATCCCCAGTTTAAATAACCAGTTCACAACAGCAAAGACGCCACTGGTATTATTTGCGTGCCATGTCTTGCTATACTTGGGGTAAAGACCGGGCGAGTTGCGTGGATCGGCACAGTTTATGCTAAGTAGCCATACTATTTTGATTGGTTATACTTTCATATCCTACCTGACTGTTGTTTCCACTGGCTGTTCGGTTTACCGCTACAGCTATTCAGATTGCGGACCAACCACTTGCCAAATCCGAAAATAAAGGCATAAGCAAACCTTCGATTGAACCCATAAATACAGCGTTGTTCTCTGTCAAAACATCCAATTTATCCGAGAGCTCATACTCACCGCTTGTCACTCACATGTTGTAGTCTGCTAGGAATACACAAATTAACTACGTCTCTTTGTCCAATGCCGGATATGCTAAACTCGACGTATCACAGCATCGTAGGATGGCTAGCATCTATGCTCGATACTATTAGAGAAACGATAGTCCCTCATCAGCTTACGGCCACGTACCAATTTATCGACAGTGTTGGGGACATTAACATACTATACGACCGAATGTGTTCCCTAAACCTTGTATCGATGTTTAGCAACGTCTAGCTACTCGAAACCGTCACTTTTTCTCATAGCGACATTGATCAGCACAGGATAACCACCGAAATACCAACTAAAGCAACTCTTGCTCAGCTCAACTCTGAATCATACATGCCATTTGATTGGTGAAAGCAGATGATATTGAGATCACCTCTCGAGTCACCGTTGGATCATATCTACATGGAGGATGGAACAATAGTATCGGTCATTCCCAGCTACAAGTTACACCAACGTTAGGTGGAGGACATGTACTGTATAGTTAATCAGACGACCAATATGCAAAGTCATTCAGTGTTTCGACCACAGAACATCCTAATGCCGTATTCACAGCTGAATTTGTTGGATGCAGACATAAAGGGAAGACGGACCAATTTAGTTAAGGATATCCAGGCTACTCTTGCGGCACGTCAAGATATTCTCCAAGGATACACGCCTGCGGCACAGACTCCAATACTCGGATGCGGAATCATTGCGCTACGCCCGGCGTGAATCTGTTATGCTATAACTAAGAGGGTGTCTCAACCTACGTTGCCTTACTGCGGAGTCATTAAACGTGCTCGTACGAAAGATCTTTCTGGTCTTAGGTACGTTCGTGGGACTTATGTTCATCTCGTATTACGTGCGTCACTCAGTTGGCAGATTTTCCATCATTTTCTATGCGTTGGCTAGGTTTCGCGCAGGTGTTATCGCGTATTCGGCCCGAATTACCTAGTCGTCTGATCGACGCGTGGAACGGACTAAGCGAACGCCTCATTTGGGTGCGTCTAACGAAAAGGAAGTTCATAATAGAAACCATACTGGATGAGGCAATAAACTCATCACTAGAGTTTTGTACAACTAAACCATAAAAGAATACTGATGCATACGTTGTTTAACTGTACAGGCAGGATCTGTAGCGAAGACACTATTGCAGATGAACAGGAGAAAATCACACTTTCGAAAGCAGTTATCCAGAGTGCTTCATTGACACTCATATAAAGCCCAGCGCCCCGATATCCATCATGTGAACTGTCGAGAAGGAACAGCTGTAACTTAAGACTCTCCTCAAAGAGGAAATTGGTCGATTCTATACATGGCGATTGATGCATACCTGCAGAAGGACCTTCAATGCCACTCAGCTTAACGTGATTTTTACGAACAAATCATTGATTATCCATAGCTCGAGTATCCGATCTACTCCGATCAATCATGCACTTAGCAAAGCCATCAATCAGCGAGACAAGACCAATGTAAGTGCAATAACCAACCAAGTACTCAGCGGTTGACCTCAAATTGGCAAACTTAATGCTTTCGAAATTCCGTGTAAATAACAACACAACTAAATCATCAATAAGAAGTACGATTGCTTGTTTCCGGTGAAACGGCAAACATCAGATTGACAAGGGCGAATCGCTGCATTCAGGAAAAGCCGATTCAATCATTACAACGGTAGTGACCAGCGACCAAACGAAAGGAATGGGATCCCGCCCAATAATACCGCGTCCGTTCTGTCGCCTGATTACATGACGCACATCATGAGAGCCGTGTTTATCTCCTTAATGCTTAACTCCATTTACTTAACGTTTCTTAACGTATATTTCTATGGTGGACCTGAAAGTGAATAAATCGAAAACTTTTGTTCAAGTGATGCGTGTCGCTTGCATTTCACCTCGGTGTGGACGACAGATGGGGATTCTGCAGCAAGCTAACTAATTTGACTCACTTTCCTACTTCGATGTTAGTGTTCCATTGAAATCCATGGTTCTCACCACAGTTGGATAGTCCTACATGCTGTCAATCGGTGTGAAAGTTCTTCCTTGTATTCATAGCTTCATGAATCTTTTTGTTATCTTAATTTACCATCGTTTGCTGCCAGCCTAGGAGGAAATCAAATGGTTCCCTTTCTCATCCTACCATGTTTTCCTAGTCTGGACCCTCATTGCCTGCTGACATCATTTTGGAGCTAGAAGATGGACGGATCGTTAACCGTTATTCTCCTCTCTACAAGCCGAGTGAGCAGAGTTCGCAAGAAATTGAAGCCGCTGCAACTGCCTCTGCTGTAATTGACAAGGTTTCACAGGCTGTACCCGAAGAGGATTCTCTCAGACTGCCAACCTCAGCCGTGTCACTTCCTGTGTGCATCGTCGAGGGAGAGGGCGAGGCTGTTGATCGTGAGAGAATGGCTTTCGGGTCGATCAGCTCCCACACCTATTGGTCCTATGTCCGCGCAATGGGTTATTGCCTCGCCTTAAGCACTGTGCTGTCGCTAATTCTAATGCAAGGTTGGTCATCTCAGACCTGTTTGATGAATTACTACGTCACATCCTCTGTTTCTCTTCTACTCCATTTGTTTGCTGATCTCTACGCAACAGTTTGAATGCTCTCCGCGACTGTGCCCTTCTGGAAACTTACACAAGTTGATGGCTTAATATCCGACATTGGCCACAAGCGTCTGTTTGTTAAGCGTTCACGTTCCGCTTTGGGCTGTTACCCTTTCTTGACTGCTCTTTCCTATACTCATTTTACTGCTTGATCAGTTTTCCACCATCTTGTACCTTTAATACTCATCACCAATGGTGTCCATCTGTTCATTGGGTTTGACATCCGGGTTGCAAGTGTTTCAGACCAAAACGAGGTCGTATTATCAGTGTGCAACGATTAGCGTCTGGGGTTTAGCAGCATCTTTTACCTGTTTCTAGCTATCATCTGATATTCTAAGCTAGGAAAGAACTACTCGGTTTTGTTTGTTTGTCATTTTTCTTAACCGACAAGTACTGCTGTTTTCATTTGTTAGCTCCGCATACAAGTGGGGAGTGTATCATTCAATAACAGAATTTCGACCTTATGGTTTGTTAAGTGACACGGACACGAGCAAAAAGTCACGATGGCAGCGGGCGGAAAACAGGCGTTTATTCAGTATAGTGTAGCCTATTTAAAGAAAATAAACACTGTTAATCTTCGAGCCTTCTCAGTGGGTCTCCTGTTTTTCGGCTCACCTCATTGGTTGCACTCCCCTTTTATTTCATTGGGTTATGTTATTCCTCTTCGGTCGCTGTCTTCCTGCCTCGCGCAATGATCACGTCTTTCGTGCTTGGCATCTGATTGGCCGTATTTCTTTGGACCGCTCATATTTGGCTTTGCACTCTGAAACTTGCCGTTAATAGCGATTCTCGAGTTGGCAGTGCGCCCTCTATGTTCTATTGTTCAATCCAGTTTGTCGGTTTCTGGATACGTGTGCCACTCGTGATTCTCTGTCCAGCCATCGCTGTCTCCCGGTGGGTTCACGCGTTCTCTCGACCGAACTGATCCGCTGACTCCGGTAACCTGCGCTTAGGTGGTAAGGTCAAGCATATTGGACTGGTTTCCTAAACCCCGTTACATCCTTTTCCTTTTGTTTTGTTAGCATTACGCCGCAGTTTGTCCCATACTGCTTTCCGCTGCGTGTGAGTTTCCTTCCTTCTGCAGGGGTGACGCGTATCTGTCTTGGCTGCTGTTGTCGGTTTTCCATCTGGGTACTACGCGTACAACCTGCTTTCCGGACCTGTACTCGGTTCCGCTTAATTGTAGTGCCCCCAATCTTCACTTCGTAGCTTCTCTCTCCCTTGCGGCTCTGCATAACTCCCTTCCTCCAGTGTCCCTCTGATCCTGGTACTGGTTGCACCCACACTTCTTCTCCCACTGCTAGAAGTTGGAGTTTTCTCGCCCCGCGATCGTAGTATTTCTTTTGTCTTAGCATTCTATTTCGTAGCCGCTCGTGTATCGAGGTCGCTGGTGATACTTTAGGTGTTAGCAGATTTGACGCAGTTGGTATCAACGTTCTTGTCCTCCGGCTGAAGAGTCGCTGCACCCGACTTGCCCCAATTTCTGTTGATGGCGTGTTTCTGCGTTCCAGCAACATAATATAAGGGTCCTCATGAGTCTCCTTAGCTTTGGTAAGCACCTTCTTTGATTCTTTTACCGCCGACTCGGCCTTTCCATTTGATTGGCTGTGATATGGGCTAGGAAGCCGGTGCTGGAAATCCCACTTCCTGCTGAACTCTCGGAACGCTGCGCTGACTAACTGCGGCCCGTTGTCCGAGACTACTACCTCCGGTATTCCGTGATGAGCAAATTGACATCGTAACTTATTCACCACTGCGTCTGTACTGGTCGTAGCAAGAGCATCAATTTCAAAGTAGTCACTGAAATAATCAACCAACACTAGGTAACTTTTTCCATCGTGGATGAAGATGTCTACTGCAACCATCTGCCAGGGCCTGTCCGGAACGTCACGGAGCATCATCGGTTCTTTTGACTGACGTACGTCGTGTGTTCGGCATGCCAGACAATTTGAGACGTAATCTCGTATTTGGCTGGTCATTCCCGGCCAAAACATTAGCTCTCGCGCTCTGGCCACACAATTGTTGACTCCCAAATGTGCATAGTGGACAAGCTCTGTCATCGCGCGCTGCAACGCTTTGGGGATTAGTATCCTATTGCCTTTGAATATCAACCCATCTTGGACAATGAGTTCATCACGAAAATGGAAAAACGGGGTCAGCTCTCCTGCTAGATCTTTCTTGTTCTTGGGCCAGCCACTTAGTATTGTCTGCCTCAGTAGCTTGCATAACCCATCTTCCTCCGTGCACTGCTGGAGCTGTTTCAGTCGCTCCTGGGTAACAGCTACTAGTTGTGCTACATGAACGAAATCTGAATCTTCGTCTTCCTTTGGTGTGTCTGACAGATATGCCCTGGATACCGTGTCTGCTGTATGCATTTCGGGACCAGGTCGATACACAATCTCTAGGTCGTACTTTTGAAGGCGAATAAGCATCCTCTGTAAGCGGCGGGGAACAACATGTAGCGGCTTGTTGGCGATGGAAACCAACGGTTTGTGATCTGTAAACACAGTAGTCTTCCTGCCAAATATATAGTCATTAAAACGTTCGACGGCGTAAACCACTGCAAGCATCTCTTTTTCTATCTGGGCGTAACGACGCTCGGTCTCTGTTAACGTCCTACTGCGAAAATCGATGGGTTTCCCATTCTGCATGAGTACGGCCCCGATATCAAATTAACTGCTGTCGCATTGAATCTCGAGGGAGAGTTGCGGATTATAGTAGGCGAGAACAGGTGCGTTAGTGATGAGTTCCTTGATTGCCTGGAAGGCCTCTTCTTGTTCTGCACCCCAATGCCAGCTTTCGCCCTTATGAGTCAACTTTCTGATCGGTGTCATAACATCAGCTAACTTGGGCAGGAACCGGCTCAGATAATTGATCATCCCATTTAGCCTGCCAACCGCTTTCACATCTGTGGGGGACGGCATATCTCTTATAGCTCTTACTTTCTCAGGGTCTGGTTTTAGCTCTTCCGCGCTTAACACATGCTCATGAAATATAACCTCTGTACTGCGTAGTTCGATCTTTTCTCGTTTCAGTTTGATGTTTCTTTCAACACAACGTTGTAAAAAGCTACGAAGGTTCTGATCGTGCTCTTCACGAGTAGCGCCAAAAACCAACACATCGTCCGCTACGCAGAATACTCCCTATAGATCGTCCAATGCTTGCATTAGTCGCTTCTGGACGATTTTGCTAGACACTTTCAGTCCAAACGGTAAACGAAGCCAACGGAACCGTCCGAATGGTGTTCCGAAAGTTGTCATGTAGCTTGACTCATCGTCTAGTGATACGTGCCAGAACGCAGAGGCGAGGTCGACTTTCGTGAACACTTTAGAATTGCATAACACCGGCAGCATGTCGTCTAGTGTCGGTAACGTAAAATACTCTCTCTTGAGTGCGGCATTAAGCGGTTTCGGATCAATGCATATACGCAGCTCGCCTGACTTTTTTGTAATAATCGCCACCTGGCTGACCCAATCAGTCGGTTCGTCAACTTTAGTTATCACTCCCGGACTACAGAAACGTTGCAACTCATTCAAGAACTTTTCGCGCAAGGCAATTGGCACCTTCCTAGCTGGTAACGTCACCGGTGTTGCTAGCTCGTTTAACGATAAGTGAGCGGGTCCCTCGAACATCCCTACTCCGCCATCAAACACACTCGAGTACTTATCGAAAATATCTACCTCGACGTCACACGCATGAACAAAACGTTCGTGGTTAAAAGAAACAAAACCAAAACGCTGGATAGAATCAATGCCCAGAATGGGCATAAGGTCTTCCGAAACAATCAGGAACTCCAGCGGGTGCTCTGTTCCTTCCTTTGGATTGACCGTCTCCAATATGACGATGCCCCTCGGTTGCAGCCTTGAGCCGTTCCACATTTTGAGACACTTTTGAGTTTATTCACATCGCACTCCCTTGCAGTATTTTTCAGGCAAGTGCTATTCGCAGCCCCGGAGTCTAGCTAAAAACGTACCGGTTGTCCTCGAACCAAAAGTGTTGCCAACACGCACTTGCTTTTCGTCCGGCCATTCATGTTGTTTATCAACAATTCTTGTTCCCGTTCTCTGGCATCGTCGGCAACCGAACTCACTCTGTATGATCTACAGCAACGAGAAAAGTGACCTTTCTTGGAGCACTTCATGCACGTCCGACCCCACGCTGGAGAACTCTCCTTCTTCTTTTGGTGTCTGCGGCCGCAAAACTGGCAATCAGTTACCTATTCATCGGGTGATCTCGGGATACGTCCCTCGGTTCGGGATACTGCGAACAACTCCGTATTCTTGGCGCGCAGATGTTCGACTTGCTGATCTGTTCTGGCCTCACTGAGGCAGATGTCGACACACTGTTCCAGTGACAAGTTCCTTTGCCGCAGAAACCGGCGTGTGAGTTCATCGTTCCTTATCCCAATAACGATGCGATCCCGCATTAGTGACTCCTTCATGCATTCACAGAAATTGCAAGTTCGTGCCAGGAGCTTCAATTCTGTGATGTATCTCTCGAACGACTCCCCCGGTAAACGATCGCGTCCAAAAAACAGATATCGTTGGTAGGTCTCGTTCACACGCGCTTCGCAGAACTCGCCAAATGTCCGCATCACTTCGGATAGATCCGCCTTCTGACCGCCCAACTTCAGTGTTTCTAGAACCCTTCTTGCATCGTCACCAATAGCGTGCCTAAACATTGCGAGTTGGTAGTTCATCGGCTGGGCGTCCAGCTGAGTCAGTGTTGCGAAATTCGCCCACTTGCTCTTCCAAATCCGCCAATTGTCTGGTAGAGAACTCTCAGTCATCTGCAAAAGGGATGGAAACGGAATCGCCGGTTGACCTCCAACTGCAAGCTGCATCTTGGGCATCGGTTTCTTCTTCTCCTCTGTCACCATGTTAAGTGACACGGACACGATC